CCCTCCCTTCCTTCCTTCCTTCCTTCCTTCCTTCCTTCCTTCCTTTCTTTCGAAACCAGGTTGTTTGTCCTCTAGAATTATCCGGAGTCTGGATTCTACTGATTACATACCCTGGTGTCACTCCATCTGTCCCTTTGTCCTATGTAATTTCTGTACATCGGTAGTTAGCTCTAGAAGCTTTATTCAGTATAGATCTGACTCTATTTTTATTTCAAAATCAGCTTCCTGGTGCTGATGGCACTTCATCAGACAGCAGCTATGGATGGTTACTTCCTGGACGCATTGATTCATTAGGGGTGGTAAAAATGGTGATATTCTAATTCAGTCTTTCTCTGTTTATTACCTGGAATACTGCTATCAAGAGAAATGGCCTTTTGTAACTCCATTTATTTCTGAGGCACAAATTGTATAGAAAAGGCAAGATCAATGTCTGATTTTTCTTTTTATTGATACATTTTCAAAATTATGAGGTGGTTCCCTGGCATCCTTCAAAAATGTCCAGGGAAGGTTTCCATCTTTTTGGTGTGATGTGAATGCGTGGATTTCAACATACTTGCTCGCTTTCTGCCTGCTGTAGCTATTACGCTTATCATGCTCAGAGTGTCCTTGCTCTCAGCCCGCGGTGTTTGAGCTCCTCTCTGCTACCTGTCATGGCAAAGTGCCCCGAGCTCACCCTGTGCATTTCTGCTCAGCCCTGGGACCAGCCAGTTCAGGGAGTGCTGGCAGGTCACTGCCATTGCTTTGGTCTTGACTTCTGGGCCTTTCCGTGGTTGTAGCCAGGAAGTATGTATTTTTTAAAAAACATAACATACTTATGGGTTTATATTGATGCTTCTATATGTGCCTAATGTGGGACTTAGGGTTTACCCTTGACCTTATCAACCTTATGCTACCATTTCTTTTTTTAAAAATATATATATATTTATTGATTTCAGAGAGGAAGGGAGAGAGAGAAATAGAAACATCAATGATAAGAGAGAATCATTGATTGGCTGCCTCCTGCACGCCCCCTACTCGAGATCGAGCCCGCCACCCTGGCATGTGCCCTTGACTGGAATAGAACCCGGGTCCCTTCAGTCCACAGGCCGACACTCTGTCTACTGAGCCAAACCAGCCAGGGCCCATTATTTCTTTTTAAAGTTGACAAAAACAGAGGTTCTCCAAGACAGCAAGCAATACAATGACTTATTTGATTTTCTTACAACCCCCATACAACAGCCTTAGAATACAATTCTATCACCACCCCACTGATTGATAGTAGAAATGAATTTCTGAGCCTTTCCCCGCAGTTCTGTGTGTCATTAGGGAATATTCTATCAGTCAATTGGAATAGTTCCTTTCTGTGAGTCATGCCACCAAACGGATGCATTAATTCATTTGTTTTGTTTTACTTTCAATTTTAAAAATTAATTTTGTTTTATAGTGATATAAAATATTCACAAGATTCCAAGCTCAAGTCTTCAAAGCAAGATATCCTTAAAAGTCTAGCTTCTAGCCCAGCCACTCTACCCTTTTTCGTCCTTTCCCCATAGATAATAATTTTTCAGACTTCATAGTTTTCTTATTTTATAATTTATTCTGATGCATGTATACATTTATAAATATATACAAATATATGCAAATGCATATACTCACTGCAGCTCCCCTTTCATAGGCAATGGGCGCTTAGGGCACACACTTTTCTGCGATTTGTTTGTGGGGATCCCTCCTTGCAGCTGGTGGGGCTTTCTTCATGCCTCTAGCCCTCCCTGTGGATTTCCCATAGCGTGTGCCAGTCTCCTGGTGATGGACACTTGGGAAATCGCTAGGATTTCGCAGCTCCTAATAGTGCTGTAGTGACTGCCTTGGTGTATGCATCCTTTCCTGGTTTCGAAGCTGCGTGTTGTCCTTGGAGTGGAGTTGAGCTCCTGCCACCTCAGTGGCTTAGAGGCCCCTGCACGGTGCTGGGTGCTGGAGACATGTGGAAACTTGAAGTTCTCAAGTGCGAGGTGGGGGGCCAGGTCCCAGAACCCTGCTCTTGGGGAGGGTCTGTCCAGCTGTGTCCTAGCCCTGCCCTGACATTTTCCCTCCTCCCAGATCCGGGGCCACCATGTGGCGCAGCTGGACCCCCTGGGCATTCTGGATGCAGACCTGGACTCCTTTGTACCCTCAGACTTAATCACAAGCATCGATAAATTGGGTGAGAGTTGGTACCCTTCACTGTCGCCCCGGTGAGGCCAGAGCCAGCTGGTGCCTGTGCGCAGTGAGGGGCTGTGGGACCACAGTGGGCCCCGGGGCCCCGCAAGCAGCCCAGGAAGCTTTTCTCGGACCCTTGCCCATCTGCACAGTGTCCCTGCGAGGGCGTCTCCCGTCTTCCCTAGGGGCGCACCGTGCTCGGCAAGCTTGGGAGACATTGCCGGGCTCACTCCCGTGGTGGCAGCTGGGCTCTGACTCTCACTCCCTGGTTCCTGCAGCAGGTTCCCTGGGCTTAGGCGGGACCTGGCGGGAGGGATACTGCTGGGCCCCACCTGGGCCTGATCCCTCTTTCCTCTGTGCCTCCTGGGCTCTGCCCAGCCTTCTATGACCTGCGGGAGGCTGACCTGGATAAGGAGTTCCAGTTGCCCACGACCACCTTCATCGGAGGCTCTGAGCACACCCTCTCCCTGCGGGAGATCATTCAGCGCCTGGAGGTGAGCACGGGCAGGTGTGGGGGCCACACCTGATGGAGCTCTCAAGCCTGCCAGGGGGCGGGAGGTGCTGCTTTTTCTGTTCCAGATGCCGGGGCATTTGTCCCTCTTCCTGGCTGTACCCCCAGAGCACCTACTGCCAGCACATCGGCCTGGAGTTCATGTTCATCAACGATGTGGAGCAGTGCCAGTGGATTCGGCAGAAGTTTGAGACCCCTGGCGTGATGCAGTTCTCCAGTGAGGAGAAGCGGAGGCTGCTGGCCCGGCTGGTGCGCTCCATGAGGTCAGGCACTCAGACCACCACGCAGCCGAGTGGCTGGAGGGGCCTGCCCAGGGCTGTTCGACTTGCCCAGGCCCTGACTGAGAAACCAGGAGGATGCCTGGCAAGGGAAGGCAGGACTGCATGGGCCTCGCCCCTCGCTGGGGAGAGGCCCTTAGCAGGAGCATCGGGCCAGGTGCTCAGGCAGAGCTGGGCAGGTGGCCAGGGAGGGGCTCCAGGAGGCATGCTGAGCGAGGGCACAAGTGGCAGAAAGTGGCTGTGGGAATGTTTGGGCCGAAAGATGTCCTGTGTGGCGTGCGTACAGCAGGGCCTCCCTGGTGGGGCACCACCTGGCTCTGCTGCTGGCTTCTCTGAGGCTGGGTGTGCCCAGGCCTGGAGGAGCAGCTCCCCAGCCACTGGGCACACCGCGGCGCCCTGAGCAATATGTGGGGGCTGGAATTTGAGCGGAGCCGTGAGGAGGTCTGGGTGTGGTGAGAGGGCATGTGCAGTGCATGTGTGTACAGGAGTGCAGGGGGCCGGAGCAGTTTGCCTGGAAGTGGGAGAGAGGGTGGTAGCTGGGATCAGGAGGGTGCAGGCAGAGGTTTCTGGTTAAGCTGGGAGGACCTCTCGCCTCCCTCAGACCTGTGCTCCTGGCTGGTGCTGTCTGAGGCAGGTGCCGGACTATGTGGAGGGAGGCGATTCTGCACCTTCCCCTGTTCTGGGCGCCCTGCTCCAAGCCACCAGGGATGGCCCATGAGCCGCGGCCTCTCCATTCTTTCCCTCCTCTCTCCACGCAGGTTCGAAGACTTCCTGGCCCGGAAGTGGTCCTCTGAGAAGCGCTTTGGCCTGGAGGGCTGTGAGGTCATGATCCCTGCCCTCAAGACCATCATTGACAAATCCAGTGAGATGGGGATTGAGAATGTCATCCTGGGGATGCCACACAGGTGGGCCTCCGTCCTCCCCCGCCTGTTCCTTCTCTCGGGGCCGGACACCGAGGTGGAAGCAGGGATGGGAATCAGCAGGGCTGTTAGTGGGACACGAGGAGAATGTCATCCTGGGGATGCCACACAGGTGGGCCTCCTGTTCCTTCTCGGGGCCGGGCACCGAGTGGAGGGAGGGATGGGAATCAGCAGGGACACGAGAGTAGGGGCAGAGTGGCCTGGAACGTTCTCAGATCCCTGCTCATCACGGACAGAGCCAAGCACATGGTCACAGCGCATGGAGCCAGGGCCTGACAGGGCTCCCAGATCAGTGTCTCACCAGGTTGCCGCTGTTCCCAGGAGGGTCAGGATTCTAGGAAAGGGTTGCGTTGTTCTTGAGGTTCCTGTGGCTAAGGAGCCCTGAAGGGGCCAGTCCTAGGGAAGTGTGGGCGGGGCCTGGCCAGGCGGCCCTGGCTGGATCTGGAGGTCTCTTCTGGCTGCAGGCTGACTGCCTGCTTCCCTGTGGCCTTGATACAGATGGGAGACTGGCTTGGCAGTCGGGTAGTTACTTCTGGGCTGGAGCCTGTGGTCTGACAGGAATGCAGCCCCGGACAAATGAAGGTGGTGGGTTCATGCTGAATGTGCTGAACAGTCAGGGGCAGAGCCCCAGCATTTCCTTGACCACTTCCTGTTGCTCTCGGTTGGGCCAGGCCGGGCTGCACCAGCAGGTGGGGTGTTCAGCAATCCTGATGAGTGTGGAGGGCCTCCGGTGAGCTGGCTGCCAGGAGCCGGGAGCCTGCCCACCACAGGCTTCCTGCTCTGAGGGCCTGGAAGTGCCCAGTGTCCGGTCAGAGGGTCAGGCAGAGCTGGCCCCGGGTCTGAGTGGCTGGCCCTGTGGAAGGGGATGGACTGGGTGGTCAGGTCAGGAGGTGGTGCTGGGCAGGCTCTGGCCCTGGGAGCTGAGGGTGTTCTGGTCGAGGCTCCATAGTCGCTGAGGGGCCTTTGAGGCTGTAGGGCTTTGCCGGTGGCTCCCTGGCTCCCAGGACCCACAGAACAGGAGAGAGGCCCACCTGGACGAGGGCCGCCCTGCCACAGGCCACGTGGGGCTGGAGGTTGGACGGGGCATGTGTGTGTCGGGCTAGCATCTGTTGATGAGCTTTGGGATGAGTCATGCGCTGTACCCCCATGGGCTGGTGCCCACCCCTGGGTAAACTGCCCCTGGCTGGGGGCCAGGCTGGACTGGAGAACCCTGGTCCCTGGCTGTTCTGCTGACCCCTGCCCCTCAGACCTCCCTCAGCTCCTCTGGACAGGTCCTCTGGTAACTCCTGGTTTAGGGTCCATCTGGTTCCTTTTCTGTCCTGCTCCAACATGCTGCTGGGCTGGGGTGGGGGTAGTTTGAGCCACTGTGATGCATCAGCGGATTGGGACCAAGGTACTGGGTTGGGCTCAACTTTTGGGTGGGGAGGGTGAGCATTGCATGAGGCTGGTGGCTCCCTGCTCATGAGGGCCTCCTGAGTCAGAGATGTATAGGGGTGTCTGGGAGGAGGAGGGGGCACTGGCTGGCCAGGATACTCACATGCCTTGAAGACTGAGACAGGATGAGAGGGCTGGGCCTCCTTTGGGCTCCCTGGAGAGGGGGTGGGCCCAGACTCCATGCTGATCCTGATAGGTGCCCGGTGGGCAGGGAGCAGGGCCCGTCAGGGAAGGCCTCTGAGCCAGGTGAGAGCCCACCCCTCTGGCTCCAGGGGCAGGCTGAACGTGCTGGCTAACGTCATCCGCAAGGACCTGGAGCAGATCTTCTGCCAATTTGATCCCAAGCTGGAGGCAGCGGATGAGGTGGGTACCAAGCCCAGGTCTCAGGGCCCCTGGAGAGCTGGGTGTTTGGGAGGTGGACTGGGGAGGAACCGGGCCAGGAGTTTCCAGGCTTGGACAGACCTTGAAGTGGACAGACACACAGAGGAGTGGGAGAGAGGCTGGACAGACACACAGAGGAGTGGGAGAGAGGCTGGGTGTTGGCAGGAGGCCCCTGGTGGTGGAAGCCCTGGGATATGCGGCCAGCCGCCCTGTTTCCAGCGGGACATGGGCCTGAGTGCGTTGCAGATGCCGTGGCCGGAGCTCAGAGGGTTGCAGACATTAGGGAGCCCACCCCGGCGTGTGGGAGAGCCCCATGCTCCCTTACTCATTGACCTTCCCTCTTGGACAATATATTGGTGTAAAATGATTGCATTCTACCATATTTCTTTATTATGAATTTGAGTATCTTTTCATGTTTTTAAGCCATGTATGGTATGGTTTTTTTTTTCCCTATAAATTTCTCTTCATGGCTTTTGCACATTTTTCTGTGGGGTTTTGGGCTGTATATCCCTGATTTGTAAAAAGTGCTTTACGTATGGAAGCACTTAGCCCTTTGCCTGCATTTGTCTTATGACTATTCTTTCAGCTTGATTTTCCCCTAATGTTGTGCAGGATTTGCTGCCCCCGTGACAAATGTATTAGGTTTTAGCTGTCTCATCGTTCATAGCTTCCGAGGTTTGTAGATTGTGTAGAAAGACGTTCCCTGCTCCAGGATCATCAAATATGCCGCGCTTTCCTGATACTGTGGCTCCGTCACGTGGCGGGGAAGTTAGTGGGCCCAGCCTGGTGTTTGCCGAGCGGTCTCCACCCCGCGAGTGAGCCATCCTGCACGTCTCTGCTGTCACTGCTGCTGGCCGGCCGCCTCCTACTGAGGCCTCCCCGTCCACCCTGCCGTCATCTGTGAAAAGAGGACGGTGGTTGAAATGCAGGGCTACCCTGAGGGCAAGGAGGGGCAGGGTGCAGGGCAGGGAGGCGGCGGCAGCAAGAGGGTGTAGGTCAGGCCCAGCACAAGCCTTTCTAGAGCAGAATCCAGGGACCGTTTCAGCCACACTGGCCTTGCATCTGTCTGTCCGTCTGTCTGTCTCCCTGTCTGAGGCGGGAGGGCCGGGTTCATCACGGTCCACCTCAACCCCAGGGCTCTGGAGACGTCAAATATCACCTGGGCATGTACCATGAGAGGATCAACCGGGTCACGAACAGAAACATCACTCTCTCCCTGGTGGCCAACCCCTCCCACCTGGAGGCCGTGGACCCTGTGGTGCAGGGGAAGACCAAGGCCGAGCAGTTCTACCGCGGGGACGCCCAGGGCAAGAAGGTGAGCTCCCCTGGGTCCTGAGGGGTGAGCTCTGAGGGCTGGGCCCTGAGTCTGCGGTGCAGGGGGCAGGGCTGGGGTCCACAGGCTGGGGCCTGGGGCTCCTCTCAGCTCGCCCTCTGCTCTGCAGGTCATGTCCATCCTGGTCCATGGGGATGCTGCCTTCGCCGGCCAGGGTGTGGTCTATGAGACCTTCCACCTGAGTGACCTGCCCTCTTACACCACCAACGGCACCGTGCATGTGGTTGTCAACAACCAGGTGAGGGTCTGGCTGCATGCCCGGCCTCGTCAGCATCCCATCCCTGAATCCAGGCAGCACTTTGAGGGGAAGAGTGAGACCATCCTGGTTCTGATCCCACTGCCGCGTGTCCCAGTGTGCGACCTCAGGCAGGCTGCTGGCTCTCCCAGCCTTGGGTGCCTGTCTGTGAAACCAGGAGATCCATCCATCTATCTACCGTGTCTATCTGTCTGTCTGTCTGTCATCCTGGAGAAAGTTGTCAGGACAAAGGAGCACAGGGTAACGAGCTCAGAGGCTGGACACGTGGTGAGATGCTGCCTGTAGCTCCATGTGGCAGTCAACCTTAGCGCGCAGCTCTCACAGCCTTCGCTTCCGGCAGCTGTGATAGCAGCTCTTCCCTGAGCCCGGGCAGCCCAGGGTTAGCTGCAGTATTTGCACTCAGTCACCTAATCTTCACAGAATAACCCTGTGATGTCGGGATTAAGGAGACCTTTACATAGACGAGGAAGCAGCGTTTGGGAATTTAAATGCCTTGCCGAGGTTGTACAGTTAGTAACTGGTGGGACGGGTTTACCCGGGCCCGTGCTCCTCACTGCCACGGTATGAAATGATGGCAGAGAAGAGCGGGCACCCCCATGGCACCCGCTGCTGTTTGCTCTTGGGGCCGCTCACCAGCGATCCCTTCCCGTCCCACATGCCTCCTGGGCACACCTGATGGACCTCGAGGCAAAGACCTCCCGGCCTCCTGGACCACGGGTCTAGCTCTAGGTAAACGGCACTGCCGCTTCCTCCTGCTCCTGCAGATTGGCTTCACCACTGACCCTCGGATGGCCCGCTCCTCACCGTACCCCACCGATGTGGCCCGTGTGGTCAATGCGCCCATCTTCCACGTGAACGCGGATGACCCAGAGGCTGTGATATACGTGTGCAGCGTGGCGGCCGAGTGGAGGAACACCTTCAATAAAGACGTGGTTGTGGACCTGGTGGGTCTGGGGCTGAGGCCGGGGCCGGGGTGTGCAGCCTGTCCTGGCTGTGCCAAGCAGTCGGGGCTGGGAGTCCTGGGAGACAAGATTCAGTGCTACCAAGAGCAAAACGTGGGACAGTCAGTGAGGGGGGCCGGGGGGCATTCAGGGGCCTGGAAGAGTGTGCCCTGCAGATGTGCCCCAGCTGTGCAGTGACTAAGCCTGCACTGCCTGGGCACAGGGACCAAGCCCCCTTCCCTCGCTGTCCCTGCAGGTGTGTTACCGCCGGCGCGGCCACAACGAGATGGATGAGCCCATGTTCACGCAGCCGCTCATGTACAAGCAGATCCACAAGCAGGTGCCCGTGCTGAAGAGGTACGCAGACAAGCTCATCGCCGAGGACACGGTCACCCTGCAGGAGTTCGAGGTGCGTGGTGGCGGGCCTCGTGAGCACCTGGGGTCCGCCTCCTCAGAGCCGGGACCCTGGGGAAGTCGCTGATGTTGCTGGCCCAGTGCTGGGACCTGGTGATTTACAGAAGCAGCCAATATGGCCCTTGTCCCCAACAGCCTCCAGTTACAAGGGGGACAGAGGGCCAAAGACATACACAGCTTGGTGGGATGCAGCAACCCCCTGAGACGGGCTTGTCCCCTCAGTTATCTGTGGATGTGTTGGTCCTCCCGCCTCGAGGGGGCTCTGAGAGCAAGGACTGTCAGTCTCCCGACTTTCCCCCAAGTCCCTTGCTGAATGGGATCCCCCTGAACTCTGAGACTTTGGTCTCTGGCCACAAGGCCCCTGCAGGCCAGCAGAGAGAGTTCTAGAACGTGGTGAGGGGGACTGACTTTCGAGTCCAGTTTGACCTGGGCTCTGGCTGCTCACAGTGTCCCTGCCTTCACTCTGATTCCAGGAAGAAATCGCCAAATACGACCGGATCTGTGAGGAGGCGTACGGCAGGTCCAAAGATAAAAAGATCCTGCATATAAAGCACTGGCTGGACTCCCCCTGGCCCGGTGAGCGGCGGGCGTGGGCTGACACTGCTCCTGGCACTGGGCCAGGACTGAGCGACTCTGCCCCGAGGCCCCGAGGCTGTGGGGCTGATTCCTGAAGGCTGGGAGGCACCGCCCTCAAAGTACCCGTGACCAGCAACCTCTGGAGAGAAAGGGCTGAGCAGGGCCGGTGGACACCAAAGTGGAGAGAGCTGGGGACAGAGGGATGGTCAGCGGCTCCCTGGGTAGAGCTAGATGGCCCTGGGCTTGGGGTGGCTCTCGCAAGGGCCCAGGGAAGGATGGTAGCAGGTGTAGGAGCTGGAGCTGTGACGTCAGCTGCCGCAGTCCTGAGGTTGGGCTCAGTCTTCAGGTAGCAGGTGGGCCCAGGAAGACTGGGCTGGGGGCGCAGGCTGGCGGGGATCTGAGGCCCCACCGCCTCCCGAAGTGCACAGAGTCTCTGCTTCTCAGGCTTCTTCACCGTGGATGGGGAGCCCAAGAGCATGACCTGTCCAACCACGGGCATTTCTGAGGACGTGCTGACCCACATCGGCAACGTGGCGAGCTCTGTGCCCCTGGAGGACTTTAAAATCCACACGGGTGAGGTTGCTGTGCGGGCTGCAGCGTGGGCCACGGTCCCTGCTGTCTTGCCCCAAGAGCGATGGCATCGCGGGTCCGGGAGGCCTGGCCTGCATCCCCACTGTCCCTGGTGGGTCGGCTGGGCTCTTGGAGCCTTGTCTGCACCCCGGGAGGTGCCCTTGATGCTAGCTCCTCTCAGGGTGGGCTGAGGTGGTGCCACACTCCCGGTGGGTTCTAGAGACCAGACTGATGTCGATCCCTGGGGCAGGCCGGAGAGCAGGGGAGCAGGGTTTCCTGTGGAAGGAGCGCTGGGCCTGGCCTACCGGGCAGGAACGCTGGGCTTGCCAGCAGCCTGCATGGATGACAGAGTGACCCTGCTGCTCCTGGTGAGCCTGGGCTAGGGGGTGGTCGCTGGCTGTAAATTGTGGCTGTGGCCTCTACTTGGGGCCCCTGGAGAGCCCCCTGGAGGTGGTGGGCACCTGCGCCCCTTCTGACCAGCCTGTGGGTGCTCCGAGGGTTTCCTCCACAGTGTGCTGGAGGCCCAGGTGTCCTGAGGCACCGCTCTGTGTGCATGTCACGGGGCCTGTGCAGCTGTAGAGCCCCCAGGAGCCCAGCTTGGCCTGGGCACTGGGGCTCAAATTCAAGTATCTTATAGCTGTGACTGTGGGTAAATGACTTCCCTCTATGGCTCCTGTCTCCATCTGGAGAGTTGGGACAGTCCACCCATGGGCGGTGGAGGACGCACCCCACCCCAGGCGTACAGGTGTGCGCAGTGCCGGCACCCGCCCACCGGTACCTGCTCCTTCCACGGGAGGGAGGCCGCCCACTGTACTGGCTGGAGGGCTGTGCTGGAGGAGGGCCCTTCCAGGGCCGGCTCAGTGGGAGACGTGTGCACTGAGTACACACACACCTGGCCCCGGCCCCTTGGGCTCTGGCTGTTTTGGGCAGGGTGGCCCAGTCCTGGCTACCTCAGGCTGGCCCTTTCCTCCTGTAGGCCTCTCTCGAATCTTGTGGGGCCGTGCGGACATGACCAAGAAGCGGGAGGTAGACTGGGCGCTGGCGGAGTACATGGCCTTCGGCTCCCTGCTCAAGGAGGGCATCCACGTGCGGCTCAGCGGGCAGGACGTGGAGAGGGGCACGTTCAGGTGAGGGCAGGGGCTCCGACCCAGGCCTCGTGCACATTAGCCTTGTCAGCACTGAGCCTGTGAGGCAGCTGAGGGGCCAGCTGTGCTTGGGGACCCCAGCGTCATCGCGGGAGCTCTGGGGTGGAGCTGGCCCTTCCTCCTCTTCCTGGGCCTTTTCTGAGGAGCCCAAGGAGGGCCCTTGTCTGGCGGGGGCATCACTGGTAACCCCATCAGCACCCCAGCCCCTGCCCTTGGGCCAGGTCATCAGGGGGACCCTGGGCCACCTCTCTGACCCCAGGGGAGAAGCATGCAGAGCAGACCGCCTGGCCTAGGCCTGGGTCATCTGTGGCCTCACGGTGCGTGTGAACTGCTGTCCAGCCAGCCTCCCCATTTGCTGTTTTCCTTGAGTTTTTGAGCCCAGGGACAGGACTGCACTTGTCAGTGTCCCCACCTCATTTCCTCTTTGGGCCCAAAGGTTCTGGACCCGATGTGGTCACTGCCATGCTGGTGAGTCATGGAACCGTGGCATCCGGGATGCGATGAGCGGCTTTCTTGGGTCCCTGGGGCTCGTCACGTGGTCACTGCCATGCTGGTGAGTCATGGAACCGTGGCGGCTTTCTTGGGTCCCAGGGGCTCGTCAGTGCTGGCCCTGGTCCAGCTCCATTGCCCCCTGAGCTGCGTGTTAGTCCTCCTTGGGAGTGGGGGTCAGCCAGGCGGTCCCCTCATTGTGTAGGTAGTACCTCCTGTGGACCTGGGCAGGGAGAGTGCCCCAGGGGTGTGGCACTGTCTTGGGGTCTCGGGGTCTCGGGCTCCACCCAGCACTTGGTTGGGGAGGTCATTGAGGCCGGTCTCTCAGGGACCTTTCTGAGGTAGAAGCTGAGACCCAGGCCTGTGTGGTGTGGGGGCACTGCTGGGGGGCTGCCTGGAGGAGGGGACCGGTCGCCCTGGCTCTCCAGGGCCGCGGTGTCACTGTCCTGTGGGACTCTTAGGTTTCCGGGCACAGTGATGAGGGCTTGCCCGCCTCCTGCTCCCCATCCTTCCTGCTCTGTTTGTCTCCAGTCACCGGCACCACGTTCTCCACGACCAGGAAGTTGACCGGAGGACATGTGTCCCCATGAACCACCTTTGGCCTGACCAGGCCCCGTACACCGTGTGCAACAGCTCCCTCTCGGAGTATGGCGTCCTGGGTGGGTCAGACTCTCCAGGCAGGTCAGGCGGGCCTGGGATGCCTGGGGACCAAAGAGGGGCTTGCATACTGAGGTGCCCTGTCGTTGTGACCATGGACGGGGCCTGTGGCTGAGAGGGCAGGGCTGGTCTGGGCCCAGGAGGGACTGAGAGGCTCAGAGGCCCCTGGGGTGGACCTGGGTCCTGGCACAGTCATGGGGATGCTGAGGCCACAATGGCACTTGAAGTCCAGCGGGGGGCTCCTGCTTGCCTGGGGATATAGGGGGAGGCGGCGCGGTTCTTTGGCTACCAGAGCCCTGTTCCTGAGCCCAGTGGGACCAGAAAACCCAATAGAGTCCACTGTGGGCATAGCCACCGGCTGACCCTGAGCCTGGCCTGGCCCGCCCACTTTCCTGACCGTCATTTCCCCTCAACACTGCACCCCGCAGCCCTGTCTCAAGTTCCCCTCCCTGGGCTCAGGGCTCCCCAGACTGTGGACCCTGCATTCTCTCCCTCGGCTTGATCTTGAGCTGGCCTCCTCCCTCACTGCCTCCTCCTAGAGGCAGGACCCCCAGGGGCCAGCTCCTGCCCCTCCCCCTCAGCAGCCCTGCACCTGTTTTGGGGGCTCCTCTTGGTAGATGGCCCCTGCTGCCTCCCCAGGGAATCTTTGGACTTGGCTCGATGAGGCTGAGCTAGTCATGTGCAGCTACGGCTGAGGGCGCCCCTCGAGTGTCCTCAGTTCCCAGGAAGCAAGATCGTGGGCCCCAAGGAGTCCTGCTCCCCCTGGCCTGGCGGGAGGGGTGGTGGGGCAGGGAAGGTGTGTGAGAAAGGGCTGGGCTTGACCGGAGCCACTGGCACGGGGGACAGTGTGGCAGGCTGTCTTGGTTTCTTCTGTTTAGGCTTCGAGCTGGGCTATGCCATGGCCAGCCCCAACGCCCTGGTCCTCTGGGAGGCTCAGTTTGGCGACTTTCACAACACGGCCCAGTGCATCATCGACCAGTTCATCAGCACCGGCCAGGCCAAGTGGGTCCGACACAATGGCATCGTGCTTCTGCTGCCCCATGGCATGGAGGGCATGGTGAGTGCTGCTGGGGCCGGGGCTCTGGCAGGCCTGCGGGGGCGGGGGCCTTGGCCACATGCATCATTGGAGTGTATGCACCTATGCACCTTCTGGGCCCATGGAACACGGGGGTCTGCTTAGGGGGGGCTGCATAGGTCTGGGTGGCTGCGGCTGAAATGACACTAGTCACTAGCGGTAGAAGTAGCTGACACCTCGGAGCCTGCTACGAGCCAGGCTCTGTTTCAAACGCTCTCTGTGTATCAACTCTTCCAGTCTCACAACTCTTTGTTCCAGCAATGTAATGAAGTGAGTCCTGTTCCCATTTTTCAGATAAACTGAGGCACAAAGGTGTGGACTAGCTTGTCCAAGGTCACTCAGCTAGTAGCTTGGACTTGAACCCGATCTGTGCAGCATTGCCTGCCTTCCGGTCCCCTCCCAGGGGCAGGGCAGACGTGCAGGCTGAGCAGTGGAGTGCTGAGCAGGGCGGGCTGGCTGTGCGACGCTGGCTGAGCTGCAGGGGATATCCCTGAGGGCCCACTCGGCTCGGGTCCAGTAAGGAGCTGGTCACTACTGGCACCGCCGCGTGGCTGTGTAGAGCCAGGACTCACTGTGCTGAGCACTTCATGCCCTGTAAACCCTGCCGAGTCCTCACTAAGGACCTGCCTCAGTCCTGTTTCCATTTCACACCTGAGGGGAGAAGGGGCGTGGCCTGCGCAGGGTCACCAGCTGCCAGGGCTTCTTCCTGGCGGAGCTTGAGCCAGGCTGGGTGAGGAGGGTTGGGGTGGCCTGGCTGGAGCCTGTGGCACTGGGTCCTTGGTGAGTCCCCACTAAGGGAGGGGCGGGTGGCGGCCGTGGGACAGGTCACCCCTGTTGCACGGGAGCGAGTTTGGAGGTCCCTGAGCTGTCTGCTCCCGTGAAGCAGAGCAGCCCCTGGGCCCAGGTGGGCGGGGAGTCAGCTCTGGGTCACATCTGTCCTTCTGGCTGACGGATCTTGGGGTTGTTTCTTAATCTCTTTGCCCCTCACCATCTTCATCTGTAAAATGAGGAAACAAGTGTCTGCATCCTGGGGCTCGGTTCAGGGCCAGTGGCTAACCTGTGGGCCGCGGAGCTGTGTCTGGGTCGAGCAGCAGCCACTGGGTCGGATATGCTGGGGACAGGCCTCGGCCTGGCCCTCACGCCCACCCACACGTGCTGGCTCCCCAGGTCCCTCTGAGGATGCCTTCCCGACCCCACTCCCGCTTTCTGGGTCTTTCCTGTGGTCTGGGCTCCAGAGTGAGGGCACCTTGTCCCAGAGCCTTCCACTCTCTTTCCCGAGACCTGGTCCCTGCACAGCCAGGCTTCTGTCCTGTGTGACGTCCCCTCCCCTCGGCCAACCTGGACGCCTGGCATTTGCTTTTAGGGGCCGGAGCACTCCTCAGCGAGGCCCGAGAGGTTCCTGCAGATGAGCAATGATGACTCGGATGCCTACCCCGTGAGTGCACCTGCCTTCCCCTGGGTCAGGGCCTGGGCACCAGGGGCCACCTCCCAGCCACACCCTGTCCTCCCAGGCGTTCTCGGAGGACTTCGAGGTGAGGCAGCTCTACGACTGCAACTGGATCGTGGTCAACTGCTCCACGCCGGCCAACTACTTCCACGTGCTGCGCCGGCAGATCCTGCTGCCCTTCCGCAAGCCGGTGAGCCACCTGCCCTGGTCGCGGCCGCAGCCACGGGGCAGACCCGGAGCCTGTCCCGGGGGCAGCTGGCAGCTCGGCACGTGTTTCCCTTCCAGCTGATCATCTTCACTCCCAAGTCTCTGCTGAGGCACCCGAAGGCCAAGTCCAGCTTTGACCAAATGGTATCTGGTAGGTGCCGGGGCATGCTGGGCAGCGACGGGAGGCTGGGGCCCGGTGCGGCCTCTGCTCCTGGGACTCTGTGACTAACTCAGAGCTCACACAGTCTGTGGCTCTGCAGCAACTCCCACTTGGTCCCCACCCGTGGCTGGGTGGGGAGGTGGCGGGTGGCCAGCTGGACTGGGCTCAGCACCAGGGACAGGGGTGCACTGGTCCCAGCAGGGCTGGCCTGGCTGTGCTGGGGGAGCTGAGAGGCAGGAGGCTGGGTAGAGGTCTGCCTCGTTTGCAGGAAAGTAAATATCACTGATTCATTAATACTTTTTTCCCCACTCATGAGCCAAACAGACATGACTGTCTCTGGGGACGCAGTGTCCCCTCCTGAGCTCTCAGCCTCATTACCTGGAGTCAGGGGTCAGTCTAATAAAGCGCCTGAAGGACTAGGTGTCGGAATTGAGATGTGAGCCAGTGGAGGGTCAGGGAGTGCAGGTGTGGGGCCCTGAGGCTGGCAGAGTAGAGCTGCCTGGAAAGTGGTCTGGCCAGGAAGGGTCTCCGCAGCGTGGACAGCGTGTGTTTGGGTGTCCCCGTGGTGAGGGCAGGTCTGAGCCGGCAGTTCTGAGCTCTGGCCTTGGGCTGGGCCGGCTGGGCTGACGCCCGGTGCTGGCTCTTCTCTGGTGGGGCCTGGCAGCCTGTTCCCTCTCTGCTCACTGTGCTCCCTGGGATGCCAGGACACGGCAGCTTTCCCAGAGAACTTTGCAGCGTGCTTGGCCTGCTGCCGGGCACGTGATGTGAGCTCAGGAAGGAAGACGGACAGCACTTAGGACTTGGGGGCTTGGTTGCGGGGCTAAGGGAGGGAGGGATGTGTGGTGGTCTCTGGAGACAGCTGCTCACCCTTCGCTAGGTGATGGGTAACTACAGTGCACACAGCGATGGGCGGGGCTGGATGGGGAGCAGCTCCGCTTCAGGGACCGAGCTCATGAGAGGGGCACGACATTACCTTCATTTCCCCGCCAGGGGCTTTCCCCTTGGACCCCTCTTGCCCCTGAACGGTGATGCTCCTGGGCTCTGCCCTTGGCTCTGGTTCCCATCTTCACTTCTTTCCCTGTGACATCTCAGGTTTCATTTGTCATCTTCTCCATCATTTGGCTTGAGAGGTACCTAGTGCAGCCGCAGATCTAAACCTGGGCTAGTCTTAGTGGCCAAGGGGAGCCTGCGGGTGCCAGGGCCGCGGGCCTGGTTCCCCGGCTGCTCCAGCCCCTCCAGGAGCTGATGCCTCTTCCATGCCCTGTTGGTCTCCAGGGACCAGCTTCCAGCGGGTCATTCCTGAGGATGGGGTCGCGGCTCGGGCTCCTGAGAAGGTACGGCGGCTCATCTTCTGCACAGGAAAGGTGTACTATGACCTGGTGAAGGAGCGGAGCAACCAGTGCCTGGATGACCAAGTGGCCATTACGCGCCTGGAGCAGGTACGCCTCCTTGGAGAGATGGACGAGGTCAAATAGCCAGCCCCCTGGGCAGTGTGCCTGGCCTGGTCAGATCTGGGCCCGAGGGAGCTGTGTTGTCTCGTTCCCCGGGGCTACGCTGCCCTTTCTTCCTGTCTGCCCCAGATCTCCCCATTCCCCTTCGACCTGATCAAGAGAGAGGCGGAGAAGTACCCAGGCGCAGAGCTGGTGTGGTGCCAGGAGGAGCACAAGAACATGGGCTACTATGACTACATCAATCCACGCTTCATGACCATCCTGAAACGGACACGGCCCATATGGTACAAGGCTGGGTGCAGGGAAGCCAGCCACCTACCCTTCACTCTGCAGGGCCTGCAGGGTGGGGGCCCGAGGCCCGTCCTGGCTTTGCCTGGCCCGTTTGGTGTGTTACCGAGAACTGGCCACTGCCCTTCTCTGGCCACATTGGGAACCATAGTTCCTGCTGGCTCTGTGACCGCTGGGGACAGGTCAGCTTCCCCATCAGGGACCCCCATCAGCACCACCTCATGGAGCAAAACCTTCTGCAGCCAGAACTGACCTAGGGCACCTCCCGAGCTCTCAGCTCTCCCGCCTTTGGCCTTAGGCCAGTAACTTTGCCTCGTGGTGCCTTGGGCTCTTCATCTCTATAGCAGGACGAGAGGGATCAGACCCCGTGCAGCCCTGGGCTAGCGGCCAGGCCAGCCCAGCCCTCCCCTCACTGTCTCTCCTCCCCTAGGTATGTTGGCCGTGACCCAGCGGCTGCACCGGCCACGGGAAACAGGAACGCTCACCTGGTGTCTCTGAAGAAGTTTCTGGATACTGCCTTCAATCTGAAGGCCTTTGAGGGCAAGACATTTTAGCGCTGGGCAGGGCCTGCCTGGGTCTTCCCACGGGGCTGGCTGGGGCTGGGGAGGGTCTGTCAGGCCCCAGGGTAAAATACACTCACGCAGCGATCGAGGCCGTAGAGCAGGCACCACTGGCTTTGGTCTTATGCCTCCGTGGGCCCTCATGTTTATTCCAGAATCTGTTAGGACTGAGAAAGCAGAGGAGGTGACAGGAGGGATGCAGTCAGGAGTGTTTCCCCAGCTGCCCTGGCCTTTCTGGAGATTCTGTGTAGCTTTTCCCACCTCTGTCTGCAGACAGCACCCCAGAGCCTGACTTTGGTCTCTCACTTCCTGGTAGATCTGGCTGCCACTCACCCTGTCCTTGTTCATCTGTAGATTCAAGGACTGCTATCTTTTGTGCTCTTAGAAATAGAGACTTCAGTGTGACAACCAGGTGAAGCAAAACCGTGCCTGGTGATTTATCTTGTGCTGATTTATGGAGTGTGTCATGATGAGTGTGAGATACAGCCACAGCGCCTGTGTACCAAACCAGAACACCAAATGACAGAAATAAAAAATGCTTGAGAGAGATTGTCTGTTTTCATTTCCTGTTGTAAAATCGAGGGGAGAGTCAGATGGTTTAGAGAAGGCATGAGCTGAGAAGAGGAAAAGCTAAACTGTAGAGGGTAAACTAGCCCTTCACTGAGCTTGCAGATCTGTTGGTATCTCCACCCTTCAGCCTTCTGTTGGTTTTGCTGGGGGAGCAGTGGCACAGGAGGGATTGTTTGTTTTCTGCAAATCATTTATGCACCTATGCACGTCTCAGAGCGCCTCCTCGGTGCTAGATGCTGGGCCCGGGGTGAAGAGGTGCATCTGCCTGCCACTGGCTCTTCCAGGTCAGGCATCCAGTTGGGAGACCTGCAGTTTATTCACTGAGTTACACGTTAGTGCAGAGGGCTATGGGAGCAGGAGGAGGTGTTGTTTGAAGGAAGAAGAGTCTTACAGGAGAATACAGGAGACATGAGCCTTCCACGGAGCAGACCCAGAAATACTGGCCATGGTGAGGCAACCTAAAGAAAAATCAGTCTAAAGTTGGAGAACAGAGTGTTACCATTCATTAGTCTCAAGCACAGTTTGCTAGAGTACACTTTGAATCATACGGCAGGAGTGTTTAAGTGACAAAGTAAAAGTAATTACAGCTGCCTATAGTGTGTTTGTTGTGTCCTGGGTCCTCTGCTGGGCATCTTGCAGATATCCTATATAATAAAAGCCCAATATGCTAAGTGTCCAGTTGTCCAGTCGTCCGTTCAACCAATCAAAGCATAATATGCTAATAATATGCTAAGGCCGCTCAACCACTCACTATGACATGCACTGACCACCAGGGGGGCAGACGCTCTGACCAGTAGGTTAGCGTGCTGCTGGGGTCTGGCCAATTGGGACTGAGCAAGATGGGCCGGATATGCCCTGGAGCCCTCCCATAGTCCCTCCCCAGCTGGCCAAACTCCCATGTCCTTCCCCAACCCCAATCATGCACTGGTAGGGTCCCTCGGCCTGGCCTGAGACGTCTCACAATCTGGGACCCCTTGGGGGATGTTTGGCCCGATCCCGCAGGCCAGGCCGAAGGACCCCACTGGTGCATAAATTCGTGCACCGGGCCTCTAGTTACGAAATAATATTTAACCTTCACTGTGGCTTTGCATGCTGGGAGTATCCCCATTTTTTCAGATGAGGAAATTAAGGTTCACATGAAGTTATTTGTCTAGGGTCACTTGCCAGCTGACCTTGACCTCTGTCCCTAAGCCCACCTTGGCCATGGAGATCCAGCCGTCTGGGCTCTCCCTGCTGTTGGGCTGTGCAGTGGGTGGGACACAGGCATCTGGGCTGCGCAGGGCACCCTCATGCCCTGCAGTGGGAGGTGGGCACCTCCTGTCCCAGGCACACACTGCCTCTTCACTCGCGCATGCAGGAAGGCTGCAAATGACTGCTTGGGACCATCTGCTGTGATCCAACAGGAAAACCAACCACATGAAAAGAGCCGCAAACTACAAATGTAAGAACTGACACGACGTAAAATGGAGCTCATGGGCCAAACAAAGACTTTAAACGAATAACTTTAAGAGGGCAGGGGGGCTATTGCTACTGTGATACAGTAACAAACTAAAAAAATCAGAGTGTTGCGGGGGGGAGGTAAGAGATCAACCAAAGGACTTGTATGCATGCATATAAGCATAATGTCAAATTGCAGCGTGAAGGCTGGGGAGTGTTGGGGGATGTAATAGATCAATTGAAGGACTTATATGCATGCATATAAGCATAACCAGTGGACACAAGACACTGGGGGTGGATAAGGTCATGTGCCGGGGTGTAGGGGAGGCTGGGGGAAGGTCAATGGGGGGAAAAAAAGGAGACATATGTACTACTATCTGTAATACTTTAAACAATAAAATAAAATAAAAATGAGATATTTAGAAAATACCAAATATTGCTTATATAAAACCTCAAAAATGGGCTGAATAGCAGAATGGACACAGCTGAAATGTAAAGTAATAAGTTTGGACACAAGGCCTGGGAATTCTTCTAAGAAAGTAGAACAAAGGGCAAAAATGTACTTTTTGAATTTGTTTTAGGCGACATGGAATGAACATCGATCCCACGATTCTGAATGCATCTTAACAGGGCCCCAGGAGGAGAAAACAGGATTCTTGCGACAGAAATGTTCTGTCTTTGGACTGTACCCATGTGAACATCCTGGTTTGGCCTTGTAATATAGTTTTATAAGACATTGTCATTCGGGGAAACTGGATAAGGCCATGTGGGATATAGTTCTTACAACTGCATGCAAATATACAATTAAGTCGTATAAAAAAGTTTAATTAAAACTGAATTGTTTGCTCCCTGTTACTGAGTTATAAGAGCTCCTTATATAATGTGGATACAAATCTTTTATTAGATCCTAGTAGCCCTGTGCACGGATCCGTGCGAGAGTAGCTCACTGCTGCTTGCCTAAGCTGGCCACCCTGCCCACTGCCACTGGTAGCTATCTGCTGCTCATAGCTTGCTGCCCCGCCCTCCTGTAGCTCTCCGCCCACTGCCCCGCCTTCCTGTAGCTCACCGCCCGCTGCCCCGCCCTCCTGTAGCTCTCCACTGCTTGTAGATAGGTCATGACGTTATGGTGTCCTGGCTAATTTGCATATTCCTCTATTATTATATTAGATATGTTTTATAAATATTGTCTGTGGCTTATATTTTAATTTTCTCTAAGAGCAAAAAGGTTTTTATTTTAATGAAGTCCAAGTCATCATTTTTAATAGTTTGCATTTTTTTGTATCCTAAGTAAAAAATTGTTGCTTGTCCTGGCCAATGTGGTTCAGTTGGTTGGACGTCTACCCATGCACTGAAAGATTGCCAGTTCAATATCCAGTCAGGATACATGCCTGGGTTGTGGGCTCAATCCCGGTATGGAGGAGGCAGCTGATGGATGTTTCTCACTCTCCCTCTCCTTTCCTCTCTAAAAATTAATAAAACTATTATAAAAATTGTTGCTTAACCTAGTGTTACAAAGATTTTCTCCTGTATTTTCTGCTCTTTACTAGTTTATAGTTCTAACTCTCGAGTAAAATAACTGAGTTATTTTACATGTGCTATGAGGTAAGGGTGAAAATAACTTTGAGTTATTTTCCATATGACACCAAATTGATCCCATACCATTTATTGAAAAGACTATCCTTTATTCATTGAATAAATTTAACACCTTCTGTATGTGTAGTAAATTATATAGCATCAAAGGTATTGATATGATCATATAGTTTTCTTAGTCTATTAATATGATAGATTATATTGCTTGACTTTTGAATATTAAGCCAACTCTGCATTCCTAGGATAAACCCACTTGGTCATGATGTGTTACCCATTTGTATATTGATGGGCTTAATTTGTTAAGATTTTGGTTAAGATGTTTGCATCTACGTATGAGGGATATTGTTCTGTAGCATTTTTTCTTGTCAGGTTTTGGTTATCAGTTGAGAAGTGTTCCACCATCTCCATTTTCTGGAGGAGTTTGTGTAGACATGGTACTACTTTTTTTTTTTTTTTAATGTTTGGTGGCGTTAACCAGTGAAGATATGTGGGCTTGGAGTTTTCTTTATGGGAAGGTTTTAAACGATGAATTCAATTTCTGTAATAAATTCAGGGCTAGATATTGTACCTTCTTCCTCTTGAGTGAGGTTTGGTAGTTTGTATCTGTTATGGGCTGAATATTGTCCCCCCCAAATTCTAATGTTGAAGTCCTAACCCTCAGTTCTTCACAATGTGACTGAGTTCAGAGATTGGGCCCTAATCCAATAAGACTGGTGCCCTTCTAAAAAGAGGAGACGAGCACACGGACGTGCACACAGAAAGGGCATATGAAGACACAGGAAGAAGTTGGTCAGCTACAGGCCAGGAAGAGGCCTCGAGAAATCAACCTTGTCCACACCGTGACCTCAGATTCTAGCTTACAGAATTGTGAGGGAAAAATTCTATTGATTAAGCCACCTTGTTTGTGGTGCTTTGTTATGTCAGCCCTAGTGAATACAATCTTTCAAAGAATTGGCCCATTTCACTAAGATGTTGAATTTTGTAACATAAAATTGCATTGGAAATGCAAGTCAAAATTACAAGACAGTCCATCTCACACTCATTAGGATGGCTACTATAAATAAATAAAAAATAAACGACAAATGTTGATGGGAATGTGGAGAAATGGGAACTTTTGTGCACTTCTTATGGGAATTGTAAAATGGTACAGCCACTGTGGAAAGCAGTATGTCAGTTCTTCAGAAAATTAAAAATAGAATTAACCAGCAATTCCACTTCTGGGTATATATGCAAAACAATAGACATGTGGGTGTCAAAGAGATATTTGTATACCCATTTTTGTAGCAGCATTATTTATTAATTTTTAAAATATATTTTATTGATTTCAGAGAGGAAGGGAGAGGGAGAGAGAGATAGAAACATCAATAATGGAGAATCATTATTGATCAGCTGCCTCCTGAATGCCCCCTACTGAGGATTGAGCTCCCAATCTGGGCATATGCCCTTGACTGGAATTGAACCCGGACCCCTTTAGTCTGCAGGCTAATGCTCTATCCACTGAGCCAAACCAGCTGGGACAGAGCACTATTTATAATAGCTAAAATGTGACAGCAACCCAAGTGTCCATTAAGGGGTGAATGAATAAGAAAAATGCGGTCTATAAATGCAGGGAATATTCAACCTTAAAAAGGAAGGAAATTCTGATGTATGTTTTAATGTGAACCTTGAGGACATTATGCTAAGTAAAATAAACCATTCACAACAATATAAATACTGTATGATTCCACTTATGAGGTACTTAGAGCAGTTGAAATAATAGAGACAGAAGTAGAATGGTGGTTGCCCAGGGTGCAGGGGGAGGGGGGGTGGAACGTTATTGTTTAATGGGTATAGTTTCAGTTTTGCAAGATGAAAAGATTTTGTAGCTGGATGGTAGTGATGTACAATATTACAAATGTAATACCACTGAACTGTACACTTTAAAAAGGCCAAGATAGTTTTATGTGTATTATACACAATAAAAGATTGTCCACAGTGTTGCCTTTATTCCTATAATATTTGTAGCCTCTGAAGTATTGTCTT